CAAGGTTTTTTATTTTTTAGTTGCAGCCCTAAGTGCTTTTCAATAGGTCATTTTCAGAGTTTTTGTTCTCATGACCTTTGAAGGACTTTGAAAACCCTCTATTTTGATTTCATAGCAACTTACATGATTGAACGGTTTGATTTAGTCAGATGCAGTGCACCCGTCTTCGGACAGGTTGAACCATTTGGATTGATAGCTCATGGATAGCAGTACTAGGTCAGAAGCTGACAGATACATGTGTTGTATTGCACACTCTGTAAGAATGGTCACTATAGCCATATATCACACAGGCTTAACTGCACATGCGGGACAAATCTCCTCGTATCCAAAACTGAACTTGGCCCTGGTTTCGTAACCCCCATGGACTTACCACTGGAGATCCTACCTGGAAACCTTGGACGGTGATGCGAACCGTATCCCCTACCTTTGCCCTGGCAGGGGTTATCAAAAGCTTGGGGCCTTTAGGAGCCGCTATGGAAGGAAACAAGAGAAAACACTGTCAGTTTTTGCTGCACAACATTAAAACTAGGAATGCACTAGAGCTGATACTAAGCTCCTGAATTCGTACTCATACTCATTAAAATGCTCCGATACCAAAAGCCGATAGCACACAGTGTGTGAACAGTGCTGTGTCCAGACAAAGAAACACAGACAACAGAACAACAGAGAGCAGAATGGCGTTATTAGAGATTAAGCAGGTCTATGTAATTAATACACAGCCTGTGTGAAATGTTCTAGGTTATATGTGTCTCTGTCATTCTGCACCAATACAAATGTGTGTGTGCGCTGTGTATGCTTTGTTTGCTTTGGAATCGCAGCATGTTTCCGAATACACAGCACGGTTCAGATGATAAAAAACGTGACTTATATTTCAGAAAATATGTTAATCTGTTACACGATTTATGTATAACGAGTGGTTCCCTATATTATTACAAGAAAACGTCTTGTGATTACAGTACTGAGCTGCTGCAATGAAGCAGCTCTAATGCACTATTAAATTAAAGATAAAATACCATTTAGCAATAAAAGAAACAGTAAAAGTAACAAAAGCTTATACAATACATTTTAATGGGCATCATTAAGTGTGGAAATAACTGAAGGAAATCTCTGTTTGTTAAATGAAGCCAGCTAACATGATTCATATTCTTTTGGTATCTGTACCCATTACTTTCAAAATATCGTATCGGTAAGTACCAAAAATAAAAGTAATGGTATCAGACTCATTCTTGAAAGAGTGGAACTGGTGCATCCCTAATTAAAACAATACTAGTATACCAGCACAATATTAACAGACCAAAGTCACAGCGTTTGACTTGGAGGTCAACTTGGAGATTCTCAGTTTCCTTTATTGAAATTGCTGAGGAGTATGTATTTCCCAAGAGGGACAAGGACCTAAATTGGGTAGACACTCATTACTGAAGAAGAAACAGAGCATGCAAGGCAAATGGTGGAGGAGGTAAGATAAGAGACACTTAGAGAACTAATTCCCTTGTCTTGTGTGGACCGAATCTCCCAGATGGGTTTAATTTGGTCTCAGAGAATGGCTGGGATGTGATGAAGGAAAGGAAGGTTAAAATACCATATTTTGACCTTCTCAGGCACCGGGGATTTCTCTTGTGTACTCAGAGGGAAGATAAGAAAGTGATTTTGTACATGTCTGGAAAGTGAGGCCATAAGTTTCTCAAGTGAAACTTCCTCTATTTGGCAGTATGAGCTAGGCGCTTTATAGCAGCGGAGTCTGAGAGTGAAAAAGCCTCCGACTGGACCTGTGTTAAGTGGTTCTGCATCGTTTACCATGATTACCAGGATCCACTCCGCATAACCCTGAGAACCATAAAACAAGTTTTGTGAGCCATATATTTGCGCTAACACATAATTCCAGATGGAAGCTTTGTAAATGTAGATTGGACTTGAAATTATTCAAAAATACAGCCCACTATGGCCTTTTTTCAACCCTCATTACAGCTAATGCTACGCTTTGGCTCCTACAACACAGAGATAATCCAACTACTGAGAACTATGTGAAACAATGGCTAATCATGCTTTTAGCCATCATTTAAGCCACAGAGTGTCCAGCAAAAGCTAATGAGGCATCAAGCCAGTCTTAGTCAGTTTAATGATTACCCCCTGGTGCCGCTTAATGGATTATGATTTCCGCTCTCACATTTTTTGCTTTGGAATCGCAGCATGTTTCCGAATACACAGCACGGTTCAGATGATAAAAAACGTGACTTATATTTCAGAAAATATGTTAATCTGTTACACGATTTATGTATAACGAGTGGTTCCCTATATTATTACAAGAAAACGTCTTGTGATTACAGTACTGAGCTGCTGCAATGAAGCAGCTCTAATGCACTATTAAATTAAAGATAAAATACCATTTAGCAATAAAAGAAACAGTAAAAGTAACAAAAGCTTATACAATACATTTTAATGGGCATCATTAAGTGTGGAAATAACTGAAGGAAATCTCTGTTTGTTAAATGAAGCCAGCTAACATGATTCATATTCTTTTGGTATCTGTACCCATTACTTTCAAAATATCGTATCGGTAAGTACCAAAAATAAAAGTAATGGTATCAGACTCATTCTTGAAAGAGTGGAACTGGTGCATCCCTAATTAAAACAATACTAGTATACCAGCACAATATTAACAGACCAAAGTCACAGCGTTTGACTTGGAGGTCAACTTGGAGATTCTCAGTTTCCTTTATTGAAATTGCTGAGGAGTATGTATTTCCCAAGAGGGACAAGGACCTAAATTGGGTAGACACTCATTACTGAAGAAGAAACAGAGCATGCAAGGCAAATGGTGGAGGAGGTAAGATAAGAGACACTTAGAGAACTAATTCCCTTGTCTTGTGTGGACCGAATCTCCCAGATGGGTTTAATTTGGTCTCAGAGAATGGCTGGGATGTGATGAAGGAAAGGAAGGTTAAAATACCATATTTTGACCTTCTCAGGCACCGGGGATTTCTCTTGTGTACTCAGAGGGAAGATAAGAAAGTGATTTTGTACATGTCTGGAAAGTGAGGCCATAAGTTTCTCAAGTGAAACTTCCTCTATTTGGCAGTATGAGCTAGGCGCTTTATAGCAGCGGAGTCTGAGAGTGAAAAAGCCTCCGACTGGACCTGTGTTAAGTGGTTCTGCATCGTTTACCATGATTACCAGGATCCACTCCGCATAACCCTGAGAACCATAAAACAAGTTTTGTGAGCCATATATTTGCGCTAACACATAATTCCAGATGGAAGCTTTGTAAATGTAGATTGGACTTGAAATTATTCAAAAATACAGCCCACTATGGCCTTTTTTCAACCCTCATTACAGCTAATGCTACGCTTTGGCTCCTACAACACAGAGATAATCCAACTACTGAGAACTATGTGAAACAATGGCTAATCATGCTTTTAGCCATCATTTAAGCCACAGAGTGTCCAGCAAAAGCTAATGAGGCATCAAGCCAGTCTTAGTCAGTTTAATGATTACCCCCTGGTGCCGCTTAATGGATTATGATTTCCGCTCTCACATTTGTAATGGGTCCTATGCATGTGTATTTCACACATAAATCAAGTTATGGCAGGACACTACACCGAATACACAGAAATCCTCTTTCACCAGCTTTCTTATTATGGAAATGATTGGGGATATTAGCGGTCAGGCTTTGTGGAGTGGAGAAAGAGATGTGAAATACAATATACAAGAGAGATTAAGAGCTTGTCAAGGCATGAATCATGACTCAATGATTTTCCCTAAGAAAACAGTTGAAAAACAAAAGGAGACCTTTGATGGGGCCTGTGTTCTGACAGAGCAATGGGCACTCAAAGGCCAACCCTGCCTTTTCCGTACCAAGTAGATGAATTAACGGATCAATACCGTGGATTGCCTAATCTAAGCCCTAACCACCGGAGCTGACAAAAAAATTCACTGAGCTGTGACTTTTTCCTACCCGTGGTGCCAGGTTACTGTTCTGCCATAGCAATTGTTTTTTTAAAGCATTTTGAACAGAACTAGCCTGAGAAAGGCTTTTAAAAAGCTTGCTGTTGAAGAAAGGTGATGGCCAGATGTCTGGGACCAACTCCAGGAGGAGCATTTGGTGACCCATGTCGTTACCTTTGATTATGGCTGCAAGCACTGTAACTGATGAGCCACAGAGGCGTTGACTTTTCAGACTTCACTAAGGGAGACAACTACAAAGTCTCAAACATTATAATGCATAGAGTGAAAACATTTAAAGGGTTAGTTAAACCCAAAAATGAAAATTACCCCATGATTTACTTACCCTCAAGCCAGCCTAGATGTATATGACTTTCTTCTTTCAGAAGAATTAATTCGGAGTTATATTAAAAAACATCCTGGCTCTTCCAGGCTTTATAATGGGAGTGGATGGTAGTCCAAAAAATGTATCCAATCCATTATAAAAGAAGTCCACATGGCTCTGGGGGGTTAATAAAGGCCTCCCGAAATGAAACGGTGCGTTTGTGTAAGAAAATATCCATACAACTTTATAAACCTTAATCTCTAACTTCCGCTAACTGTCGTTTGCGCGTTCACGAGAGAGTGGCGTCCAGCGGATGATGTATGACATAGGCGTACACTGTAACTGATTTTTGTAATTTGAACAGTATTATACTGTAATATGTACAGTAAGATACTGTAAAATGTGTATACAGTATTTTACTGTAAACCGCAAAGGATTATGGGAAAATATACGGTCACTACTGTATTTCCTCACTACTGTAAATCAATTTACAGTAGTGAACTTGCCCGCGAAAAACTGACCAATGGCAAGGGAGTTCTTTTTTGTCTTTTTGGTGGAAGTGGCTGTAAAAGGACAAAAGAGAAATGCACCGTTAACTCGACGAAAGGTTAGTATATTATTTCTGTTTTATGCAAAACTGCGATATTTTAAGATATTTTCACTTGTTAACAGCAAAGTAACATTACTCATCGTGTCATTTTTCATGTCGGGAGTTGGAGCCTTTTTTTCTGACAGACAAAAGGCTGATAACATCGACTGGTGAGTAAGTTAATGTCACCTATATTGCTCGAAACAAACCTTAGTTAAACCGAGAAACACGTTTGTACGTTCTGCTGCCCTTTAATGCAAGTTAGCTCCTCTGGTGAGTCGTTATTTAACCTTAACAGCGAATTAACGTGCAATACTGTAAAGTGCGTTAGGCAAACCACTGTTTCAGTGGTGATATTAAACAGTATTTTCTAGTACTTCTTTTGTTTGTTATTTACAGATTTCTAGTCTGGATGTAGTCTGCAACGTCGGAGGTGTATTTTGGATCCTCTTCTTGTGAATGCCATAGTATCGATGATAACATCAACTGGTAAGTTAATAATGTCAGTTAGCCGAAGTTAACTAACTTAGTTGAACAAAGAGAAGCATAGTAAGTTATCTTCTCTACTCTGCCTCTTTATCGCAAGTAAGGTAATTCTCTTCAAATGCTATTTAAGTCAGAAAGTGTGTACCAATGTCGTATGTAACTTTAGAGACGCTCTCTAAATTCAGTGACAGACGTAAAGTTAACATAAAACAGCGAGCTAACAACCTACTGAGGAACACTGAGTGAAGAAACACCACTGTTAAGAACATCTTTTGTATTTTATTTTAAAGTTTGTGGTCATGTCTGCATCGGAGGTGTATTGGAGTCTTGTGATTGCCTCGTAGCGGTGCTAACAGCAGGTGAGCTTCTATCAGCTTAACTAACTTTAATGTCACTAAATTAGCCTCTAGCTGCTGTTCTCCACTAACTCACAGAACAGGTTGACTTTGAGAGGAACATGCTAGCACATGTTGAATAAACATGAGCACTGCACGTTTCAAAATCGAAACCCGGTGCAGGTGTTTTTATATCACTGTATTTCTGAAGGAAACTCATTTTCATTTCTTCTTGATTGTAATGTCTGATAAAGCAGTGTTTGTGAGTGGAGCTCTGCTTTGTGTACAGCGTTACCGGGGAAACCTCGATCTCTATCACTCACACAGCGCCTCCTGCTGGCAGAGAATGAGTTCGCATATATATGCCGCCACAAATAGAATGAAAGTCTGTGGGAGACACTGTAATGTTATTTATGCAATTTGTAAGTGCAAATTATAATTAATTATACTTATCTCTTTAAAAATAAAAAATTAAGCCATTTAGCCAATGTAACTTTTAGCATAGCCTATTTTATTTGAAGTGTATCCCGTGTATTCTGATACATGCATTAATGTTTCTAGGCTAAGCCCTGGATATCCACTCACTGTAGAACTGCCCCTGGAATCAAACCCATTATTTCAACACTTTGCTCTACTGATTGAGAATGCATTGTAAAAAATGGAGCTTTAATAATTTGAATATGATGGATTATCAACTAATTATGTACCTTCCTTGTAGGTGCGTTCAGATGTAGTATATAACGTTTTTATTAA